CGAGGCGAGGCGAGGCGAGGCGAGGCGAGGCGAGGCGCGCCGCTCCGGGGCCCTCCAGGCCGGGACTTGTGCCCAGGCCGAAGCATCCAGCTGGAGGGGCCCTCACCGCCTTCCACAGGGCCGGAACTGAGATGGCCCCCTCCCCTGCAGGTCAGCTTTCCCTGGGGGGGTTGGGCTCCTCCGAAAATCCGAGCACCTCTGAGTGGGAGCAGAGGGAATCGTTATGGCCTTGAAGTGAGCGTCCAGACATGCAGTTTCCCAGGAAGCCAGCATCTTTTAAAAAGCCGCCTTTCCTTAACCGTTCTGCTCTCCAGATGTGCCAGAGGACAGTGCCAGTAACTCCCTGTCAGCACGGGGATGGCCGAGAGTTATGGGAGTTGCCATTCTGCGTGTTCTGAGCAGAGACTAGTTTGGAAGTCGAAGAGATGATAGGAGGGTTGCGGTTCCCTTCCAAAAAAGGCTCCTGTTGTGCTGCAGTAGCTTGGCCTCTTCTGCTGATAACCAGAATGTCACCCTCCAACCAAATGTCGCCCTCCTCTCCTCCCCGTGCTGATCACATGGCCAGGAGCGCACAGGAGTTGCCCGGCTCATCCCCCATCCCTCTCAGGCTGGGCTTCAGATCCCATACTGACTGGGATCTCCTCTGGAGCTGTTTGGAAGAAGCAAGGTGGGAGGGCCAGGGAGCGCCTTTTTCCCACGCTCAAGGACTGTCCAGGCAGCTTTACGGTTTAGTGGCGGGTTGCTGCGAGGACCTTGCGTGATGCAGCCAGCCTCCGGTTTTGTTTCCGAGAGGGTTGCTGCCTATAGCAGGGCCCCTACTAAGCAGTCTCCCCCTCTTGCTGATCACCAGTGCTCAGAGATATGCTGCTACTGTCCAGGGAGGTTCCACCGCTCTCCTGGCCAGGGGCTGCGGCTGCACTGCCCCTCCACGGCTCGCTCAGTCCTTCCTAACCCTCTAGGAGCCATTGGAGCACACGCCCAGCAAGCCCTGATCTTCTGCTGAGGAGGCGGGAGCTTGTAAAAATGATGACTGAGAGTGTGGGAATGCAGCTCCTTTAAACCTGTCCTGCTTTATCAGGTGACCTTTTCAGTCTAACCGTGAACACGTCACCCTCCAGCTATTCCAGGCTCCTTGTGTGGCGAGCAACAGACACAGCTCCGCCTGTCCCTGGGTGGGAGTTTCTGGGGTGGAGCAGCTCCTTCCATCAGCCTCAGGGCCACACAAACTGCCTTGCAGCTAAGAGGTGAGGCTGCTGCCTGTATGGTGGCCACTGGCCGAGGCCAGTGTCAGTCAGCAGCTTTGGCACATTCTGGGTGAGTTCCTAGCTGCCCCTGGAACTGCCCGACCCTGTTGGAAGGACGCTCCTGAGTTAGATGCCCCCCGTGGCCTGATCCAGGCCCTGAGTGCCCCTGCTGATGCTGTGTGCCAGTGTGTTCTTGGCCTCCAGAAATCCCTCAGACTCCAGTGGTCCACTTCTGATCTTTCAGCTGGGACCTACTGAGATCAGGAGCAAGGTGCCCATGGCTCCCCAGATGTTGCTGAACTGCAGATCCCAGGATCCCTGACCACTGGTCCTGTCTGTTGGGCTGCTGGGAGTTGTGGTTGAGCAACATCTGGAAGGCTGCAAGTTCCCTGGCACTAAGATGTTGGGCTCCTGCCGCAGACTTCTGTGCCAGCTGTTGAACCAGAAAGCTGCCCAGGTGGAATGAAGTGAAACCTATCAACCTTTCTAGTAAGGTTGGTCCTGCACTGGATTTTGCTCTCTCCTCGTTCAATTATAGTGTGGAGAAAACCAGCTCCATGTGCAGGAATGAGGCTGTTTACATCCTGCTTTCTAGTAAACCTGTCCTCAGTGACTTACAAAGGTGGTCGGTGCTAAATAGAAACCAGCTAAAAGATGACTGATTTGGCACATTCTGGCTGAAAAGGGTTCTGCTTCAAATGATAAGCCACAGAACCAGCCCTGATGGAGCAGGGCTCTTTACAACCGTTGTAAAGAAAGTCTCAACCTGCAGTAGGCCCCCTTAAAGGCTAGCTTTGGAAATGAAGCCAACGATCCATTTAACATTTAAAAATGGATTTAATGGTAATGAATCGATATGGCCAGTCAGAAACACTGTGCAGCGTCACCAACCTTCTTTAGTTGTTTCTCAGGAAGCCCTGGAGAAAAAATGGAAGAGATTACATTAATGCATAAGGACAGTCATGGATTAGGGACAAACGTGGCCG